GTGGTCCCTATTTATCTACTCGCATTTGCATGCTTTCGAACCGCTAGGTTGCCGGGAGCTGGGACAAGCGACGGGCGCTCACTCCATTGCGTGGATTCGATCTTACAACTGCTGGTCTTCTGACCCTGCAGCACAGGCTTCTGCGGTTTAGCCCACAGTGCCACCACGTCCCTAACCATTAATATTAGCAGTACAAAAAAAGCAGCAAAGAAGCACAACCTTTTGCTTTGCCTGCCAGAATCGTTAATTTAATTTAATTTAAGTTATAACCAGATTTCTGCCACAAAAAGGACACCTTCCAGTGAAGTAGTACAATACTTGAAATAAATATAATAACAATAACTATGAGCTGTCAAGTCAATTCCACCTTATGGCAACCCCTTCCAGGATTTCCTAGGTAAAGAGTGCTCCAAAGTGGTTTACCATTTCCTTATTCTGGGAACATCCAGGGACTATACAGCTTGCCCAAGGCCACATAGGATGGCTCATTGCCCAGGTGGTACATATGAGGAGTCAAACTCTCTACCTCTGATTCTGCAGCCAGATACTTAACTCATTAAGCTATCCAGCCAGCCTTGAAATGAATACAAGCAAACAAACTTTGAAGTGCAATTATAAAACATATTAGTAAAAGAAAAATACAGCACCCCTCCATTTAAAAGCACCTTCTGTAGCACTTGCCAAAGCTCTGAATAAAAAGTTGTCTGCCTCTTGTGAGGAAGACAACAGGGAAAGTACTAGCTGAGTATTCCTAGGGTTGTGAGTTCTAGAACATGGAAACAGCCAACAAGAATGTCCAGTAGAGCATGTTGAGTATCCACTGTGTATCATCTAGAAGGCTGAAGAAGTATGCAGGAGGGGGCATTACAGGCAGGTGAGGTTGACCATCACCCCAACTGCTAGATTAATGTAAACCGTCATATTGACACTATTCATAACACAAGCACACTAGAGAATACTGTTGCCAAAGATATGAGCCACTTACATATGCTGTTAGTTATTAAAGGCCAAAATCGTGTTGCATTGGGTAAGATAAGTCATAACATTCGACTGCTCCATGCCAGTAAATAAAGAGCTCCTGCTGCAATTATGGAAGGGGTGTGTGCATGCCCCCAGCCAGCATGTGTGCATGCCCCTGAGAACTGTGGGTTTTTTTTTATTTAGGAACAGCCCAAAATTTATGACTTCACTTATATTAGGCAACAGGATTTGGGTCAAATTTGCTTGCTTGCTTGTTTAAAATTAGAGACGGGGCACAAACCTTGGTTCAGAGGTTCATGCCAGTTCGTCAGTGTGACGGCAAAGGTGCTGCGTGTTCCCTACACACACTTACCCCAGTCAGCTCCTCCACTCACCAGCTGGTGCACACTGCTCTTCTGCTCTTTGAGCGATTTTGCAATCACAGCAGGAGGACGGGCTACCCTTCTTAGCCTAATCCAGCAGCCACCCACTCAAAGGCCGTGCTGCAAAAATCCCTGCCCTGCCTCCTTGTTTGAGTGGGTGGCTGCTGGAGGAGGCAGAGAAGGGAAGTCCGTGCTCCTGCTTTGATTGCATAATCACACAAAGGGCAGGAAAAGAGCAGCACATGCCAGCTGTTGAGTGTGGGAGCTGCCCAGGGATTAGTTTACAGAAATAGGGAGCTCTGAAGGAATTACATGTCCAGAAGTAAAACTTGCTCTGAGCTTCTGATGACAAAGCTCTTATTTTGTCAAATTTGATTCCATGACACCAACTTCTCACAATATTTCACTCTTAATTCCTCATCGGCCATTTGCCACAAAATAGTACATTTCCTAATTGCTAGCAGGTGTAGCTTGACACAGTCTGAAGTCCATTATGGAGATTTCATGAATCATCGTATTAACAGTAATAATAGCGAGACTTAAATTTGTTAGCCCTCTCTGGCACACATAAGTGAACAAAACAACATTGAGAGACTTCTCGGCTGAAATGACTAACATACCATTTATGGGATGATATTTAAAATTCTTCATTTCTAAAATTAAATTTCCCAGTTACTGGTTCAAGGACACTATTAAGAGGCTGGGATACTTTTTAAAAAGCATGTTTAGTTTAG